TGTTGAGGATAACTCAAATAAAATTAAATCTTTTGCGTATGTTATTGATTCATTTAATTTATGGCATGGTAGATTAGCACATATAGGAGTTAGTACTATGAAAAGAATGATTAAATGTGGATTAATACAATGTGATATTGATAACTTAGAAAAATGTGAAATATGTGTTAAATCAAAAATGATTAAGAAGTCATTTCATAGCATAGAAAAAACAACAAAATTACTTGAACTTGTTCATTCCGACATTTGTGAATTGAATGGAATATTAACTAGAGGCGGTAATAGATATTTTATTACTTTTATTGATGATTGCTCTAGGTATACTTACGTATACTTACTTAAACATAAGGATGAAGCCTTTAGTGCCTTTAAAACTTACAAGAATGAAGTTGAAAATCAATTAGGAAGAAAATTAAAGACTTTAAGAAGTGATAGAGGTGGAGAGTATTTTTCAAATGAATTTAACATATTTTGTGAACAAAATGGAATAATACATCAATCTTCTGCACCTAGAAGATCGGAACAAAATGGATTAGCAGAAAGAAAGAATAGAACTTATTTGGAAATGATGAATGTTATGTTATTAAATTCTGAATTACCTTTTAACTTATGGGGTAAAGCATTACTTTGTACTTGTCATATAACAAATAGAATTCCTATGAAAAAGAATAAAATTTCCCCATATGAACTTTGGAAAGGTAGAAAACCAAATATTAATTATTTTAAAGTGTGGGGGTGCCTTGCATATTATAAAAATATGGATCCAAAGAGAACCAAGTTAGGTTCTAGAGGTATCAAATGTTCTAGTATCAAATGTGTCTTTTTGGGATATGCACTTAATAGTAAAGCCTATAGGTTATTAAATCTCAAATCAAATGTTATAATAGAATCAAGAGATGTGGAATTCTTCGAGAATGTGATGGTAGCTAGGAAATCTGAAAATAATAAGGATATTCCAACCTTTAAAAGCTCACCAAAAGAGACATTCATAAAGGATGTTGACTTTGAACCTCGAAGAAGCAAAAGAACAAGAAAGGAAAAGAACTTGGGATCTAATGAAATAGATTCCCAATTTATTTCCTTTTACTTAGTAGAAGGAGATAGGAAAGATGTTGTAAGAACAATTCCTTTTGTTCTTCAAGTGGAAAGTGATCCTAAGACTTATAAGGAAGCAATGCAATCTAGAGATTATATAATCTGGAAAGAAACTATAAATAATGAAATGGATTCTATTATTTCAAATAACACTTGGGAAATAGTTGACCTACTAGTAGGTTAGAAAGCTATTGGTTGTAAATGGGTATTTAGAAAGAAATATAATTCTGATGGATCGCTTAATACTTATAAGGCGAGATTGGTAGCTAAAGGGTATCGTCAAAGGAAATGAATTGATTACTTTGACACATATGCACCAGTGGCAAGGATAACCTCAATAAAGATTTTATTTGCACTAGCATCTATATATGATTTATATGTTCATCAAATGGACATAAAAACGACATTTTTAAATGGAGATCTCAAAGAGGAGGTCTATATGGAACAACCGGAAGGGTATGTTCTACCGGGAAATGAACATAAGGTGTGCAAATTAATTAAATCTTTATATGCATTAAAGCAAGCTCCCAAAAAGTGGCATGAGAAATTTGACTCTAAAATAATGTCAAATGGATTTAATCACAATTCAGTAGATAAATGCCTCTACACAAAAGTGAATGGTGACGTAATTACATTACTGTGTCTATATGTTGATGATATGCTAATCATTAGTAACAATATAGACGGAATCAAAGAAATAAAACGATTTTTGTCATCTACTTTCAAAATGAAAGATCTTGGAGAAGTAGATACTATCTTTGGAATCAAAGTAAAGAAAGATAGTGGGGGTTTTACATTAAGTCAATCACATTATGTTGATAATGTGATAAATAAATTTAAACATTTGAACATTAAAGAGGCGAATACCCCTATAGATCCAAATATAAAATTAATCAAAAATGAAGGTAGAGCAATGCACAAATAAAATATGCAAGTGCAATTGGAAGTCTTATGTACGCATCACAATGTACAAGACCTGATGTGGCATTTGCTGTAAGTAAACTAAGTAGGTTTACTAGCAATCCAAGTTCGGAACATTGGAAAGCCATTGGTAGGGTTCTTGGTTACCTAAAGAAAACCAAAAACCTTGGGCTACAATATACCAAGTATCCTAAAATATTGGAAGGATATACCGATGCAAGTTGGATATCAAGTGCAGGAGAAAATAAATCCACATCTGGATGGATTTTCATTCTTGGAGGAAGTGCAGTTTCTTGGAAGTCTAAGAAACAAACTTGCATTACACATTCAACTATGGAATCAGAGTTTGTAGCTTTGGCTGAAACAGGGAAAGAAGCAGAATGACTGAAGGACTTATTATATGAAATACCTTTAGACATAAAGGATATTTCCTCCATACCTATTTTTTGTGATAGTAAAGCTACTTTAGCTCGAGCATATAACGAAGTATATAACGGAAAGTCTAGACATATGAGTCTAAGACACGAATATGTAAGGAAATTAATCAAGCACGGAGTAATTTCTCTTAAATTTGTTAAGTCAAGTGAAAACTTAGCTGATCCATTTACCAAACCTCTCACAAGAGAGTTAACGAAATCAACATCAAGTAAAATGGGTTTAAAACTTCTTAAATAGATTCACCAATAACGGCAACCCTACCAAAATATACTAAACCAGTATATATATATGTTCAAAGGGTAATAACAAGTTATTCGATAAGTGGATGGATTTCAACACTATTAGATATATTGAAATTATATCTTTGAAACTAGTGTTGGTTGTTACTGTTGGAGGGATGAGTTAATTAAACTCTTAATGAAGTTCAGTACGGAGTACAAGTATCTGTAAAAGTAACAAAAATACTGGAAGAACTTCACTTATGTGAACTTCGAGGTGGTGCCGCCTCATTAGAGAATTGAAGTCCTCTATAAAAGTTCAACGAAATAGGATTAGTGCAAGGCCATATTAGCACTAAGCGAGTTAGAGGAACTTGTGAAAAATTTAACACTTGTGTGTGTGATCTCATCGGTATAGCCACAAAGAATAACGGGTTCAAAGCACTTTAGCTACTTGGAATTCTGATAATACTTTATGAGATTTACACTATGAATAGATTTAAATCGAAAAGATATCTAATTTTTATGCACAAGTGTTGATTATTTGATTATGTGATAGACACTGATTTTGAACAAGTAGGGGATTGTTAGAATTTTAGTTGTTCAAAATTAAAAAAAATAAAAATTTTTTTTTTTGGGGCTTAACCATACAGCCGCACAGGTTAAGCCCACGCGGCCGCATGTTTCGGGAGGGCCACTTGCACTATAACCATGCGACCGCATGGTTATAGCCCATGCGGTCGCATGGTCATACAAAGTGACCGTTGGGAATTCGTTTTTTACTGTTTTTTTTTTTTGAATTTGGTGTCTTTTCAACATAATTTTGCACCATTTCGTGGAAACCCTTCAAAGCCTATAAATAGGTGTTCCAATTGCAAAGAAAAACACTCTTGAGAAAATTAAGAAATCCACCACAAGATTATTCTCCCAAATTATCACATAATCAATCTTATATCTATTTTCACTTGTTCTTTGTGAAAGATACACTTTGCTTTTGGTGTTCTTCACACAAAGGCTTGTTTAATCCTACAAACTATTTGCCGGAACTCCTTAAAAGCATTGGAAAGGGGGCAACTAACGTTTGAGGATAGCGTTATCATTTTCGTGTTCAAGCCTCTAATTATATCTATATTCTTTTATTACCAATTTTCTTCTCTTCATTGCTTTAAATTTCCAACAGAAAATACACGAGTTTTTGTGGGAAAGTGACCCAAATCTGAAGTACCTCGGTCTACAAGCGCTTACCATTGTAGCAGTGGAGCATTCATGGGTTGTTTTGGAAAACAAAGAGGTTGTAATTAAGTCGTTGGATGATGTTGATCTAAATATTAAGCTTGAGGCCTTGCAGCTTGTAATGACTATGGTTTCTGAGGATAATGTAGCAGAAATTTGTAAGTTTTTGATCAGTTATGCACTGAAGTCTGACCCAGAGTTTTGTAATGAGATTCTAGGGTACATCTTGTTAACTTGTTCGAGGAAATTTTACGAAGTGATAGCTGATTTTGATTGGTATGTTTCACTTCTTGGTGAAATGTCCAGGATTCCTCATTGTCAGAAGGGGGAGGAGATTGAGACCCAGCTTATAGATATCGGTATGAGGGTTAAAGTGTTAGACCGCAGCTTGTTCATGTTTCTCGTGGTTTGCTGATTGATCCTGCTTTGCTAGGAAACCTGTTTATACATAAGGTTTTATCTGCTGCTGCTTGGTTGTCAGGGGAGTATGTTGAGTTTTCTAGAAATCCACTTGAGCTCATGGAGTCACTGTTACAACCATGGACCTGTCTTCTACCACCACCAATAAGAGCTGTATATATTCAGTCTGTATTTGAAGTATTGACCTTCTTCATATATTCTTTTCTCTCAAGTGGAGATGATGCTTCATATCCATCCAAATTAACAGATTCATTCTTGAAAGAGGATTTTCAGGAAAGTTCTGAAACAGTAACAAGTGCACTCATTTTCGATGCTGATCTATTAAATCCAAGGAGTTCACATCAGCCAACAGGAAATGATGAGGATCTAGTGATTGCTCATGAGAAGACATCACCAGTTTCTTCAAAGAAACAGCAGTTGACACAAAAATCTGTAATGGACCTAGTAAATCTTGTTGAAACTAATTTGGGCCAGGTAGCAGGAAGTCATGAGGTAGAAATTCAGGAGAGGGCAAATAATGTCCTTGGTATGATTGAGTTGATAAAACTGTGGATACATTATTCCATGGATGAGAGTGAAGGAGACAAAATTAAGAGAGAACTTAGAGCTTCTAACATGATGAAGCTGACATTCGATGCATTTTCAGAGGAGCTGTGATGAGGACATCCAATTTTAATTAATTTTAGCAATTTTAATTATTTTAGTTGGAATTTAGGTTATTTTAATTTTATGGACTTTTGTATTGGACTTGGCCCTAGGTTTGCATTATTTTCCAGTATTTAAACCTATCTTACATTGTTATTTGAGATGATGAATTTGATGAATTAAAGAGTTGGTTTTGCAGCCGTTTTCCCTCTCTTCTTCCCTCTCTGCCCTATTTCTTCTTCTTCTTCCTTCTCCTATATCTCTTCTTGTTATCTCTATTGAGTTAATCATTCTACATCAAATTGGGTAATGACACAAACTCTTCGGCCGTTCATGGGTAAATTTCTCGTTGTCTACTTTGATGATATCCTCATCTATAGTAAAACTAAGGAGCAACACCGTGACCACCTCAAACAAGTTTGCTCTACCCTTCGCAAGACTAACTTGTATGCTAATGTCAAGAAATGTTCCTTTTTCACCGATAGCGTAGTTTTTCTGGGGTTCATTGTCTCGTCGACAGGGGTGTCTGCTGACCTTACTAAGATTCAGGCGATACTTGACTGGCCTGAGCCTAAGGCCATTCATGATGTTAGGAGCTTTCACGGCTTAGCTACGTTTTACCGCCGTTTTATTAAAGGGTTTAGCACTATTATGGCGCCTATCACGGAGTGCATGAAGAAAGGGGAGTTTCATTGGACACGCGGGGCGGCGAAGGCCTTTAAGTTAATCAAGGAGCGAATGACAGAAGCTCCTGTCATGCGTCTTCCCGATTTTTCCAAAGTCTTTGAAGTTGAATGTGACGCTTCTGGGGTAGGTATAGGCGGAGTCTTAAGTCAGGATCGTCACCCTGTCGCCTATTTCAGTGAAAAGTTAAATGAAGCCAAACGACGATATTCAACGTATGATAAGGAACTGTATGCGGTGGTCCAGGCGTTGCGCTATTGGCGCCACTACTTGTTGCCCTAAGAATTCGTCCTTTATTCGGATCACGAAGCCCTCGGTTACCTCAACTCTCAGAAGAGATTAAGTTCTAGGCATGGACGTTGGGTTGAATATTTGCAGGCCTATTCGTTCGTTTTAAAACACAAGAAGGGCGTGGAGAACCAAGCAGCTGACGCGTTAAGGCCTCGTGTCTCCCTTTTGTCGATCATGAGTGTCAAAGTCATTGGTTTTGAAAGGCTTAAGGAGGATTACGAGGCATGCCCAGATTTTAAGGATATCTTTCTCGATTTGCAAGGAGGACAATCAAACAGCACAGATGGCTTTCGACTTGAGAAGGGTTATCTTTTCCGAGCCAATAAATTGTGCATCCCTCGAACTTCAGTACGAGATTTTATAGTGTGGGAAGTTCACGCGGGAGGGTTAGCCGGTCACTTTGGGCGTGATAAGACCATTGAGGAGGTTGAACGCCAATTCTATTGGCCTAGTTTAAAGAGAGATGTGACTAAAATTGTTAGTACATGTAACACTTGTCAATTGGCCAAACAGAAGAAGCAGAACACCGGCCTATACACTCCTCTCCCCGTCCCCAATTGTCCTTGGCAAGACGTTAGTATGGATTTTGTGCTAGGACTGCCACGCACCCCAAAGAAGCATGATTCTATTTTCGTGGTTGTCGATCGTTTCTCGAAAATGGCTCACTTTATCCCCTGTAGCAAAACATCGGATGCGTCCAAGGTTGCCATGTTATTCTTTAATGAGATTGTCAAACTGTATGGGCTTCCCAAGACCATCGTGTCCGATAGGGACGTTCGCTTCACTAGCCATTTTTGGAGGACTTTGTGGCATAAGATGGGTACCAAATTAAAATTTTCTACAGCCTACCACCCTCAAACGGACGGTCAGACCGAAGTTGTTAATCGGAGTCTTGGTGACTTATTACGTTGTCTGGTCCGGGAGAACCTTCG